TCCCCCCCCCCCCCCCCCATATTTTTCTTATCTCGGTTTTTTCTTTGGTATTAAGGGATTGAAGACAGGTGATATCTAACATACAAATCCTTCCAATTTATTACTCAATAATTATCTACAAAAAAATATAGGAATTTATGTATTTCTCATCTTATATCATTTATATTGGTCAAGTTTAAGAAATATATGATGTATGCGTGGATTTTATTTGGTAAATTTCCATGAATCTGACGGGTTATTGGATTGTTTTCCTTAAACATTCACACAAAAAACCATGCTTATATAGAAAATATGTTACATAAAATTTAAGGCGACGCGTACAGCAAAGAAAACCTTTTTAAGGCAATGTCGTGGCTATATCACTTCATTACATACCAAATTCAAATGATTTCCTAATTGGTAAAAAAAAAATTGCATTGTCATGGAACTCATCTCGTCAAAGAAGTAAACCCACGAATCGTCATCGTCTGTTTTTTTTTTCCTCTTTGTCGCCATGAACGACCTCATCTCGAGCTCCTTCAAGAAATACACAGACCAGAAGCAGCAGGCTCTCCTGGGCGACATCGAGGCTGGTCAGACCGAATCCGGCAACCTCGACGAATTCTTCGGCCACGTCGAGGACATCAAAGAAGACATGAGGGCTGTCGAAGAACTCCACAAGCTCCTCCAAGATGCTAACGAGGAGGCCAAGACCGTGCACGATTCCAAAGCCATGAAGAAGCTTCGCTCACGCATGGACTCCGACGTCAAACTGGTCTTGAAACGAGTGAGGACGATCAAGTCGAAGCTCGAGGCTCTGGAGAAGTCGAACGAGGCTCAGAGAGAGGTCCCTGGGTGCGGTCCTGGCTCGTCCGTGGACCGGACCAGAACGTCCGTCGTGAGTGGATTGGGCAAGAATTTGGAGGACATGATGGATGATTTTCAGAGACTTCGAGCCAAGATCTCGTCAGAGTACAAGGAAACTGTCGAGAGACGGTACTTCGATGAAAATTCTGTCGGTATGATTCAACGCTGAATCTCTGAAAACGCTGACGATTTCTTCCCGCAGGTACTTCACCGTCACGGGACAACGAGCGGACGAGGAGACGATAGAGAAGCTGATATCGAGCGGAGAGAGCGAGCGTTTTCTGCAGAAGGCGATTGAAGAACAGGGTCGAGGTCAGATCATGGAAACTTTATCAGAGATTCAAGAAAGGCACGATGCGGTGAAGGAGATAGAGAGAAACCTTGTGGAGCTGCACGAGGTGTTCTTGGACATGGCGGCGGCTATAGTGGAGGCTCAATGCCACATGCTGAACGACATAGAGACCAACGTAAAGAGAGCGAGCTCGTTCGTGATGCATGGCTCGGACCAGCTTCTAGTCATGAAAGAGCACCAGAAGAGCTCGAGGAAGTGGACCTGTCTCGCCATTGTGCTCGTAGTTGTTCTTGCCCTTGTTCTGTTGCTCCCCATCTTGTCTTCTGTTATACTTCACTGATCTGTCCTGGTTCCTGTGAATAAGGGTTTTAGCCTTTCTTGCTCGCTCCCTCCCTCCCTCTCCCTATATACTACAGTAACAAAGTAAACAGCACTTTGATACCAAAAAAAACTAATTCTTCATAGCTCAAATCTTTATCATTCATACATAAATTGGTTGGACAACAACATTAAAGTACACAATTTTGTGTATGTGGCCTCCTTTACATACAGTTGTCAGTATAGACCTTCATGACGTAACTCAGCTGTCTCCTCCTATATGCGTTTGTTGAAAAAAATTTAGCCGCCTACGAGTTTTGGACAAAGAAAGAACTAAGTGCTTATTAGAGTCTCCTGGTTTGATTTTGAGATCTTTACAACCTCAATCGCCATTGACGAGCCTTCAAGAGGACATTGTCTCATAGTGCATGCATCAGTGTCGCCCTCGTAGCTTCCTGCTTCATCTCTGCGCCTTTTCCGCTGCCTCGGAAGTATGCGTACACTTGCTGCCAAATCATGAACGAGAGAGAGAGATTGAGGTTTCATGGATTCAAGAAAACCGGCAGATGGATGAAGGCGATGGTACTGAGACAATTCTTGCTTATGAGGTTCCCTCACCTGAATGACCCATATACTGAGAAGCGATTCGATGCAGAAGAAACCGGCTCCAATGAAATAGAGAATCTGGAGATCGAAAAATGAGATACGTTGCAAAGTATAGGTTATGTATATGTATATATTGGAGAGAAGGTTTTTCCACTTTACCCCAACCACGACATTACTAGTCAGGAGTTCTATCGCCGGCAACACACCTCTGTTGAGAGCATAAACAGTGTCAGATGTCTAGTCTTGTCCATTACAAGGGTTGTGTATTCACAAACGAAGGGTTCTGCATCAGAGCTATCTTACGCAAGAGATTTCCCTTCGAAGATGATAGGAGGAGCAACCGCAGCAAACACGCAGAATCCGATATGAATCTAAACATGATAGGACGCAGAAACACAACAAAGGAAACTAAGTTTCTTTTTACATGGAGATACGAAAGATGAACAATAACGCAACGCTTGAAAATTATGATAATCTTACCGAATAGAAGAAGAAGAACGTTCCAAACTTGAGGGCACTATCAGTCCTGCAATAGGCATGAGGGTAAACACACGCTTGAGCAAAATCTGCTGAAAGAGGTATTCTTGTTCACATTCAATGGTGATTATTACCTTGTGGCTCGGTAAAGAGGACGGTACCAACACACGTAAGCTCCAGGGATGCCGGAAATGAAATAGATGCTGGAGAGAAGCCATATCGTTGGACCTAACCAAGATGCGTCAAATGGGATCGATAACGTTACATCAGAGAGGAATGAATGACAGATATGATCCAATAAGGCAGTCAGAAGAAACCTTCTCCCTTGATCCACGCTGTAGTAACAGCGACAAAGTTCCACAAGAGACATCCTACCAAACCTGCACGGTTCACGTTAAGGTTTGTGAAAAATCTGAATTTATCACGTTTTCGAGGAATATTCTCTGAAATAACCTGACAGAAACGACTTCAGAACTTGACGTACCTAACAATGTGGTGAAGGCGACATACTGGATCTTCTGTAAGTGAACTGGTATCTCGTTCGGAATGTCGTGGTGAATGAGAGGGAAGAACTCCGGCCAGTTTTTTTGTTCGATGACAATCCCAGCTGCCGCCGAATCATAGGTTAAGAGATGCGTGTGATCATATAAAAACCAAAAAATATACCGGGAGATGTACAAAGGGTAATATCGATCATATACATCTCGCTATCGCGTCTTCTTTTCGCTTAAGTTCCTGCATAACGAGGTGGATACGAGTGTTCAGAACAAACACTCACACATCTGTACAAGAACTGACATTGTAACAAATGGGGGATCGACACAAGAACTGTGACAGGACTAGCCCGATTGCAGAAGTTATCGTTTCTAGAGGAATAAAACTACTAAGATATCAATCAAATTGTCAAGCTTCATATAGGATTCACCTGTTCCCTCCTCTTTAGTTCAGCTTCCTTAGCTTGGAGTTCTTTCTCTCGAGCTCGAAGATCCTTCGATGAAATTGGCGTGTAAGTAAGCACGATCACTCGTTTGATCCAACAAATCTAGAAGTAAGATAAATATTACCCCGAAGGTATAAAATGTTCAAACCTTTCCGGAATCTAGAGGGATATCGACAGTAGCACTGCGATCATACGGTTCCGGTGGGAGTGGCTTAAGATAGGAGTTTGCAGGAGGAACACTTCTAGCATTCTGCAAGCATATAGTCACGCGTGTTATATTTGTAATACCTAAGGATCATTCATCGCCACGAAATCGTAAATCAACCTCGATAAAGAGATACGACAATCCGATGAAATTGAAAAGAAAAAGAAGAGAAAGGTCTGCAAATCCAAAACCAGGAAATACCAGAAAACGTTTCGTATACACACGGTATCGAGCGCCGTGAATCAGAGCTTACCGCGAATGGATTGACCTCCTCTTCCTCAAATGGATTAGGATCGTAACGTGCCATCAGATCAGAGAACTGATTGAATACACTTCAGATTCAAATTTCGGAGAGAGAGAGAGGGAGAGATGAAGGAGCTCGACAGAAATGGGAAATGAGAGAGACGACGGGTACTTGAAGTGAGGAAAACGAGAGGACTGAATTTTCTCGGGAGCGATTGTTTCGGATGAAAATCCACGAGAAAGAGAGAGAAGACACAAATGTCACTTGTGCGCGCGAGAGAGATCCAAGGCTTTTTATAGGGTGGTCGCTTCATTGCTACCACGTCTCAACTGCTATTAACGGAGTTCATACACGTGTGTCTCATTCGGAGGGTTACATCGAAATATTATTTTAGTTGTACTAAATTTATAATGGTCAACAGGTTCCATGGTCTAGTGGTCAGGACATTGGACTCTGAATCCAATAGCCCGAGTTCAAATCTCGGTGGGACCTTCTTCTTTTTCTTTGCATTGCCTTGTGTTTTTTTTCCTCCATCAGCTTTTGGAAAAAAAAAAACCCTTCCCTTGCGACGTGAATAACCATGGCAGCTCTGTGTTTCCCAACGATCATAGCCTCCGGGAAGATTTCTCCGGGGATAAGAATCGGCAGTCCATTTGACCCGTTTAAGAACCCTAAACGATTGATTCCAAGGCGGAGGAATTTGATTGTTGCCTCGATCACTGAGGACCGGGAAGCGATCGATGCGAAGGCTCCCAGCTCCAGAGGTGAATCAGAAAAAGAAGAAGATGAGGCTGAAGATGGAGACACCGATCGGCTTATGAGCCGAGGAATCAACGCGGCCATAGTTCTCGGCGCCGGCACCGTTGCCGTCACCAGGCTGCTAACTATTGATCATGATTATTGGCATGTAAGCAGTAGTTTTTCGGGGGTAATCGATTTCAATTTCTTGATTCTACAAGCTTTTTGTAGATGAATGGGAAAAAACATTTTAGACTCTAGCTGAATAGTTCGGTTCTGTTTGTGTGTGTGTGTGTGTGTGTGTGTGTGTGTACAAATCTGGTCTGTTAGGTTGCCTTTGGTGGAAAAGAACTTAGCTTTCGCGTTTGAGTTCAAATTCTTGTGATGAAGCCTGTGCCTTTCTTAGCATAGTGATAGTGTGTAAGCTGATCCGATGTGCTGTCTTGGCCATTCACACAAGCTGAGGATATAAATCAGAAGAACATCCTTAAACTTGGGCTGAATTACTAGCTCCTTTTGATTTCTGGGTTGTTTCATTCTCTCGGTTTCTGCTACTTCAGAGTTCTGCGATCCTGTTATTGATCTGAACTTGGTGTTTCCTCAAGATTCTCTTTTTCTTTCGGGTACTGAATTTGACTCGAAGCTGCCATTGTTATTTTCAGGGTTGGACCCTCTACGAGATACTACGGTATGTACCTGAACACAACTGGATTGCATACGAGCAAGCTCTCAAAACAAACCCAGTGTTGGCCAAAATGGCAATAAGCGGGATTGTGTATGCCTTAGGTGATTGGATCGCTCAAGTAAAGCTCTTCAAGATTCTCAAACCTGAATGAATCTCTTCTCTAGACTAAGCTATACATTGCTGATCCACTGGTTATTTGATAAATTTACAGTGTTATAAAGGGAAACCTCTCTTTGAGTTTGATCGGACTCGAATGTTCAGATCCGGCCTGGTTGGATTCACACTACATGGCTCGCTATCTCATTACTACTACCAGTTCTGTGAGGTAAAACAGATATCTACCCAAGTTCAGTTACACTTATTACAACTCTTCTTGTTGCAAAAGGCACTTAAGCCAGTTGTTTTTATTACAAGGCTCTCTTTCCCTTCCAAGATTGGTGGGTGGTTCCTGCCAAAGTGGCGTTTGATCAAACTGCATGGTCAGCAGTCTGGAACACTATCTATTACGTGGTTCTTGGGCTCTTGCGTTTTGAATCCCCGGCTAACATTTTCAGCGAAATCAAGACAACATTTTGGCCCATGCTCACTGTAACAGTCCCCTGTCAATACCATGTCTTTTTTAATCATTTCAGGCTTTGAAAGCTGAAGTCTTCTCTGCCATCTGGTTGATATATGCCCGAAGGCTTGAAGTTTCCGTTATTTTTACCTGTTTTGTGCAGGCTGGTTGGAAGCTGTGGCCATTGGCTCATCTGATTACCTACGGTGTAATCCCAATTGATCAAAGGCTTCTTTGGGTGGATTGTATAGAACTCATCTGGGTCACTATTCTTTCGACGTAAGTATTGATCTTTACCCTTTTCCTGTCACATTGTACACATTTCCCTATCAGTCGGACGAGATCAAGAAGACAGATTCAGTTCATATCACTGAAAGATGTGGAAAACACAAGCACTCATATATCAATCCACTGACTCTGCACTTTAGACTATAAAGAGTTTCTGCTGACATTCCGTGCTTTTATTTGCGTTTTTGTTCCCTCCGGAAAGTTACTCTAATGAAAATTCAAAGGCACGCACATCAGAAGCAAAATCCAGCCCTCCTTCCAGCAGCCATACTGAGGTCTCTATCTTCTGCATTTTTTAAAGTTACTCTTTTTTGGCCTTTGAATGTTAAACTGAAGTCTGCTAATGCTGTTTTTGTGTTCTGCAAAATTTTGACAGGACTAGACAAAAACATGAAATCAGCTTCTAGTGCTTCACTCTCACCAGTAAGAAGGAAGACGATATACATATATATTTATAGATGCTGGAAAATCGACAAGCTTTCTACTGCCTCCACCAGAGGGTTTTGTCTAATCCTTCTCATCCATTCCTATTGGGATCATACCGATGATTTCGTAGCAAGAATCAAATTCAAGATATGGAGATACGGTCACTGCCAAAGTAGACGCATATGATCAGCCAGTCCAGATATTGATGTGAGTTATGAAACCAGAATGGTGTTGCTTGCTGCTATTGTTGTTGTGGGTCACCTCCAAAGTTAAACTCTGTAACATTTCAACGGTCTAAAAGTCTTTTATGTTCAAGAGAAGTCTTAGGTGGTCGGATCCCGTCTCTCTTTGCATTCGAAGAAAAGACACTCTACATACTGTGCATCGAAATTTAATTATTTTCTTAAATGCTTGCCAGAGCAGTCAAATTAAATATATTTTTTTCTTCAGAAATTCGAATGTTTTTAATACACGCATTCTCCTGTCATACCTAGGTGTCAAAACGAGCCCGCCTCGCGAACTGGCTCATGGCTCGCCAGAAAACGAGCGATCTAATCCGTGATTTTTTCAGCTCATTAAAAAATGAGTCTAACGAACTAGGCTTATTGAACATGTGTTCAATGAGTCTGGCTCAGGGTGAACTGCTCAACGAGCTGACTTTTTTTTAAAATAAAATAAATTTATATAAAAAACTCTAATATAATTTTATATTTCTTTTTTTCATATTATTCATATGATATTATAAATATCTTAATTATTATGATGGTGATAATTGAAAATATTAAATGATATTGGAGTTTTATTAATTTTTTTTATGTATTTATTTAAATTTAGAATAAATATAAATAATAAATATTATATATCTCTTGCTCAACGAGTCGGCTCGTCCAGATCGAAAAACTGGCGAGCGATCTGAGCCAAAGTTTTTCTGACTCGTTAGAAAACGAGTCTAATGAACTGAATTCAAAACGACCCGAGCCTCAAACGATCCAAACTGGCTCGTTCGACATCCCTGACACTCAAGTGGATTATAAAAAAAATGTATGAACCGGTTAGAACCGGTACGTGACTCTGTTTGTTGGGCCCAAAGGTTATTCTTACAGCCCAAATTTTAACACTTCATAAGCCCATTTTTATTCATTGGTTGCATTCTTTTTTTCGTCGATCGCTTCGTCACGGATCTCATCTACGACCGTACGATTCAACCGATCTCGAGCCGACGAGGTTCTGATACTTTCCCGTCGTCATTACCGCAAGGGTTTCCGCGTTCTTTTCTGCTTGTGCTGAGCGTTTGGTCGGAAGAGGAAGAATTTGACGCTCGGAAGTTATTTACTTGTAAGAAACTGTCTTTCTCGAATTTGTCTGGATTTGGGTTCTGGGTTTTTTTGTTCCTCGCTTCGGTTGTCCCGAATTTCTCAGATTCTCTCGTGGGCATGTAGCAGTTTGCTTGTTCTTCTCATTAGCGTCTTGTTTTTCTGGGGCATTCCGAAGTTGGGAGCTGTTTTTACTCATTGAAATCTGAATCTTCTCAATTCAGAAATTTAGGGTTTTTTTTTACGACGCTTCGATCTCTCTAGCTCAGTGCTCTATCACGTTCTTAGTCATCAAGTTATGGAGAAAAGGTTTAGATTAGTTTCCTGAGTAAATTGCAACGGAAAAAAATGAGCTGGTTTGACTTTAGAAGAATTATGTTAGGGTTTGTGTGCTCTATCTGTGGGTTTAGGTAGATTTTACATGCGATTATGGTTGAATGAGAGAAAAGTTGAAATTTTTAGTTTGTCTTTTCGTGAATTTTTCTCTGAAAGGTTGTTCATTCTGCTAGTTAAATATCAATGTCCGGGAACAACAACAATCCACAAAAGCCTCCAGGCTCCAATTCCTCGCCTTTCGTGAATCCTGGGATGGCCTCAGCATCCATCTCTACAAACCCAGGTTTCCCTCAGTCCCAAATGGCGGCTAACTTTCAGGCCCAGTTTCAGCTTTCGCAAGCTCAGGCTCTTGCCCATGCACAAGCTCAAGCTCAAGCTCAAGCACAGTCTAAAGTTCAAGCACAATTCCAAGCTCACTTACAAGCACAAGGCTTGGCAATGAACCAAAACCAAGGTTCCCCAGGGATTGGTGGTTTGGGTTCATCTTCGCCTTCTATGTCAACTCCTGGAAGTCTGAATATAAAGAGGTTCCCACTGAAACCACCTATGCGCCCCCCTGGTGTCCTTATGGGTAACAACACGATTTCTCCTATGAGAACGATGGAGTTAACTCCTGCTGCACGGAAAAAGAAACAGAAACTCCCGGAGAAGACATTGCAGGATCGGGTGGCTGCTATCTTGCCCGAGTCTGCTTTATACACTCAACTTCTGGAATTCGAGTCTAGGGTCGATGCTGCCTTGTCTAGAAAGAAAGTTGACATTCAGGAAGCCCTCAAAAACCCTCCCTGCATTCAAAAGACGCTCAGGATCTATATTTTTAACACGTTCAGTAACCAGGTAAACACGATTCCTAGGAATCCAAATGCTGAACCGCCGACATGGACTCTTAAGATTATCGGGAGGATCCTGGAAGATGGAGTGGATCCTGACCAGCCTGGATTTCTTCAGAAATCGAATCCACTGTATCCAAAGTTCTCTTCTTTCTTCAAAAGGATAACGATTTCTCTGGACCAGAGGCTGTATCCCGAAAACCCAGTGATTGTATGGGAGAATGCCCGATCACCGGCTCCTCAGGAAGGGTTTGAAGTAAGAAGAAATGCTGACCCGCCGACATGGACTCTTAAGATTATCGGGAGGATCCTGGAAGATGGAGTGGATCCTGACCAGCCTGGATTTCTTCAGAAATCGAATCCACTGTATCCAAAGTTCTCTTCTTTCTTCAAAAGGATAACGATTTCTCTGGACCAGAGGCTGTATCCCGAAAACCCAGTGATTGTATGGGAGAATGCCCGATCACCGGCTCCTCAGGAAGGGTTTGAAGTAAGAAGAAAAGGGGATCAGGAATTCACAGCTAATATACGGCTGGAGATGAACTATGTTCCTGAAAAATTCAAGCTATCCCCTGCTTTGGTGGAAGTTCTGGGCATTGAGGTTGATACCCGACCCAGAATCATCGCTGCAATCTGGCATTACGTTAAAGCCAGAAAATTGCAGAACCTGAATGACCCCTCTTTCTTTAACTGTGATGCTGCACTCCAGAAGGTGTTTGGGGAAGAAAAGATGAAATTCACAATGGTTTCTCAAAAGATATCTCATCACTTATCACCTCCACCACCAATTCATTTGGAACACAAGATCAAGCTTTCGGGAAATAATCCTGCGGTGTCAGCTTGTTATGATGTGCTAGTGGATGTACCTTTTCCAATCCAAAGGGAGCTGTCTATCTTGTTGGCCAATGCGGAGAAGAACAAAGAGATTGAAGCTTGTGATGAAGCAATTTGTGCGGCTGTACGGAAAATCCATGAGCATAGAAGACGGCGGGCGTTTTTCTTAGGGTTCAGCCAATCACCAGTTGAATTTATCAATGCCCTGATTGAGTCTCAAAGCAAGGATCTCAAGCTTGTTGCAGGAGAAGCAAGTCGAAGCGCTGAGAAAGAACGTCGATCAGATTTCTTCAACCAACCATGGTAAGCTCATCATGCCTTTTATGCTAGTCTAGTTTTCATCACTTATATTACATAGGCTCATAATTTGCTATTTAAACAGATCAACTTTATCTGGGAACTTCTTTTGATTAATAGTTTTCATCAGGCAAGTTGTTGCTGGTAAAGAACACATAGGATTATATTATCATTTCTAGTGACTAATAGGGTTTCTGAATCTGAAAATAAACTGTGTTTGTTATGCAATTTGTTTTGAACCAACACGGACATGCATTAAATTGTTGAAGAACAAACAGGATTCATCTGAGAATTGGCTCATGGTATCAGAACATAGTTCATGCTCATATACACATTTTTTTTTTCTGGTGTCCTTCCACGCAGGGTTGAGGATGCGGTGATACGATACTTGAACAGGCGGCCTGCAACCGGGACCGACGTGCATGGCAGTTCATGAGTTCGTTGCTTCTTCAAACTCATGGGTTCTTTCAGATTTGACTTTATTTCCATTGGAAGTAGTATAGTTTCAGCTGCTCTGTATATTTATGTTAAATGCCATGAAACTTTGTTACTGAGAACAAACTCGTAGGTGGGAATATTAACTTTGTAGTTTGTCCTTGTAAGGGCAATAGGGCATGTATCAGCTTTTGTAACATGCAAGTTGTTGTTGCCATTGCAGTAATAAGTGTCTTGCCATGTCTGAGGACTACATGCTTAAGCACAGATTTTCAAGTCAGCAAACATGGACATGTACATTTGAATTGATAACCAAACCTGTTCTGAAAATACAATACATAAAAAAAAGACAGAATTCCACCTGAGCATAGCAAATTAAGCCCCTCAGTTCACAATGCTCAAGGCACTTGCAAAACAAAATACAATTCATGTTCATTTCAAGGCCTTGGTTTCTCTTGAGAGAATCTCGGAAGCTGAACGAGCGAGTTCACACGGGTAACGCCTTCTAGACCCGACCAGTTCTGATCTTCTGCAGTTTTTTCCTCCTCTGCATCAATCTCTGTCTGAATTTTCCCATAAGTATCATTATCTTGATCTGATCTGACAGTGAAGTTTCTCTGGAGACACGGCTCTGATCTCTGGCCGTCGTCTGATTCTCCTGCATTTCCCGAGTGATTGCTCTGAATCGTCGCAGAAGAGAAGCCCTGGTCCTCATAATCTGACTCTGCATCCATCTTTCCATCCAGAAACAAGCACACCACTGCACAATCATCCATTTTCGAAGTGGGGTACTTGAGCTTCCATTCTCGTGCAGCTGAATCCACCAAGATCCTAGCAGCTGATGCCCGGCTCGGAGCCGATGCCACGATCTCAACCACTTCTTCATTGCTCAATACATCCCAGACCTGTCACAGCAAAAAAAAAAAAAAGAAAGAAAGAAAACCTCGAACTTGGTCAGCACTTGGTCTTGACATTCCAAAAGCCCGGACAAGCTGGATTGATCGACAACTTACTCCATCTGATGCAAGAACTATGAACTGATCTCTATCTGTAAGAACCCGGTGAGAAAACTCAGGTATCGAGATGACTCCGTACTCTTTAAGACAGAAATCGCCAAATGCCCGAGCCATGGCTAGCCCAGGTGCATCATCAAACGGCAGCCAAACTCGTGGCACCTCTGGCTCGTCTTGCAGAGCAAAGACACGACCTTTACAGCGTTTGATCCTCTCAGCTTCCCCTATCAGGCCCAAACAGGTAATCCCTCAATCAGCCAATGAGGAAATACACAAAGAGATGAGCACAGATCACACAAGTGGTAAGCATACTAGGTAAGTCGGGCTTCAGATCAACTGTTAGCTGAATTGCCACCATGGAATCATTACTATCTTTGGATCCAAGGATTGCCCGAGAATCCCCAATGCTTCCCATGAAAAGATTGGACCCCTGAACAATAAAAAAGACGGCCAACAGAAAGTTTAGCACAAGGGAAAGCCAAAGGAAACGATTCAGAGACAAAAATCAAGAAATCACATGTTCTCAAGATACCTGTTTCACAATTGTAACAGCTGTGCTGCCACTGCAGAAGCAGTCCAGATTAGGATGCGATCTCAGCTCCTTATCCATGGCCTTGTATGATTTCAAAAACGCTTCTCTCCACAAGCAATTCAGTTTATCCTCAGCAGATCCATCTTTCTCAGCCTGTCGGACATCAGATTTGCTTGAACTTCTTCTGAAACAAGATCCTCTAGATGTGTTTTGATTTGACTGAATCGAGTGCAAAAACGACATCAACTTCACAGGCAATGCGTCTCTCACTTTACGGGCAACAAGATGACCATAAGGGCCATGACCATCAAACACGCCGCAGAATGTCACATCTTCAGACATAAAATCCTACAAACAAGAAGCAAATCCTACTATTAGTCATCTAAACTGATACGATGATGAATCTCAAATGCAAGAGAGGAGAAAGAACTCACCTCCCACACAATCATGGCATCCTGATTTATCCCCTTCCGCCCCTGCTGAGTGAAAATGCAAGAAGTCCTGCTCTTCCCACTGGTGAAGATCCGATTCGGGATGGAAGCCAAGTTCTGAAGTGAAACGATGTGGTCTGAAAACGTTCTCTTGGTGCGTCTTCTTCTGCAAAAACCGATGCCAAGACATGGTGGAGGCAATGGCTCCCCATTGCTCCTGTTACTGCATGTACTCTTGCCACTAGTTGATACACAACCCCCCATTGTTAGATTCTGCAGAGGCGTATAACATACAGTCCTAGATCCGATCCTAGACTTAACAAGAACAAAGTCTCCTTTTTGTGCCAAAACGGAATACTTTAGCAGCTGCAGATTTAGTCAAAGCTACGAGCTTTCCACCAGCTTTTTATATTGAAAACTGTGGGCAACCCTTTTCTTCAAATCTTGGTCAAAGACAAGCCATTGGGACTATGAGCTGAAAAAACATTACAGGATGTGGTTATTTGGATTAGTTTATTGCAGTTTCAACGGAATCCATAGACAAGAAGACTCAACTAAGTCACAAAGAACAAGACCCAGCATGTGATCTTGTCAATATAATATTTTGTCCGAGTAACTGTCCTTATTGTTTGTCATTGAACAGAGAGCTCATATTGACACAAATCCGGCTACGAGACTTCTTTATTAATCTATGTTTTGTTTGGTCCACAAATCCTTGAGATTTAGTTAAATAAAAAAAAATGGACTTGAAGTACTCAAAATACCTGAAAAATCCAACAAATCAAGAACGGAGAGATTCCCAATATCCCTATGGAAATTTTCTTCGTCCAAAACCAGTTTAGAGTCAAAAAAATTTTTGTAGCATCAGAACTTGGAGATCTATCATCATCAACCTTTCCATGTATACAGATGTTTGTTTAGGACATTTTCCAGGCAGAAACCAGACCAAGAGCAGAAGTTGGGACACTAAGAAAATGACATAACATTCATTACCCATGCGGATCCTCATTGTCCTAAAGAGAAAAACAATACTTTATAAGAGAGAATGCTTAGTCGAAATCTACGGCTACAAAGGACACCTAAGGCTTCTTTGTGGGTCACTCGGAAATCGCACAAGGAAAATGGAGCTGCTGATGAACAGATACTAAAATACAAAAAAAGCCGGAATTTTCAGAGAAAAGACGTTAACTTTTTGACAAATTCAATGTAGATAGATGGATCCGGGAAGGTGGCATGAACTATCGTTCTCTCTTGAATTTTCTCGGTAACCAAACAGGTTGAGGGTGGAAAGAAGGCGAAAAGCCAAATGTCTGAGGTGATCTCACGAACTCGAAACAGCCACAGGCCGACAAGACACGGAACGGGAAACCCAGGAAGAGAAACAAACAATTCGAGAGGAAAACAATAAAGAAAACGATGATTCAAAAACAAAGACTGTACCTTTTGGGAGCCCTGGAAATCAAGAACAGTTGTTTCACGGAACACAGTGTGAGAGTGCGAGAGAGAGAGAGAGAGAGCCAGAGAGAGAGTTTGTGCTGTGTAGCTGTATAGATGGGTGATCTCATTAATTGATCAAAAAGCACAGAGAGAGAGAGAGAGAGAGAGAGAGAGAGAGAGAGAGGAAACAGAGCCTCCCCCACAGAACCCCTCCCTTTTTTTCCCTTCTTTTTTGTGTTGGGTCTCATGAAAGAAAGATCAAAGCTTGCATGCTTTGAAGTTAACTTTCAAAGTCCCGTGTTTATGAAACCATGAGCGGAGCCAAACAGGTCGGCTTTAGATACACTTCTCATATCCATTAAGCAAACCTGCCATCTTACATATGTCCTTCAGTTTCTCCCTACAACCATATCGTAATCTAATTAAGTGATCTAATAGAATCTCTATAATGTGATTTTCAGACATATATCACTACATCTGAACAAAAACACGTGTGTAAAACAAAATGATTGTAATCCCACGGGGTGTCAATGATCTCGTTCCGAATTCGAACTTGGTTTGAAGATTTCAGATTCGGGTTTCGATTGATCCGATTTTTTTTAACCTAAATAAGCAAACACAAAACCCGATTTTATACTTTGGGTCGACCCGTTAAATTTAAGATTTTTAAAAATTTTATTAAATTTTTGTTTTGAAAAAAAAATAGATTTTCGGGTCAACGTGAACCCAATTTAAATCCGATTCAAAAATCTAAAAATTTTTGTACCGAGATATTTAGATCTGAAATCCATTATTTTTTGGATTGGATCATATCGATTTTCGAACTTTAAACCAAAATTGACACCCTTGTTTACAAATACATATCTATATTATGTATTATGTGTGATATAAGTGATGGTACGTATTATTTCAAAGATTTACCTTAGAATGCAGTGGTTTTATTTTATTTAAAAGAAAAGAAAAAGAGCGATTCTTTTGTATTGTTTAAAAATAAAAGGGAGATTAAATGTTTTCCCTCCTCTGATTTGCTAATTAAAGCTACACGACAATCGAGACTTTGATCCACTTTCTTCCGCAATTTTTCTTTTTCTCTTTTTTTATTTATTTATTATTTGCTCAATTCAAGACTCCATGAATGAAAAACTATATCAATTTGGTTATTTAAAAGATTTGGAAATAATTATAAAAATACTGAAAGTTTATAAAATATCAGAATATATATAAGTAGAATTTATAGATTATTTTATCTTTATGCAGATTTGTAATTGTTTGGAAAATTTATTAAAAAAAATATATATATATTAAATTTATTTGATATTTAATATTAATAAAAAATAGTTATTTTATAAAATTGATAATTATATCCACAACCTCAAATCTAATATTTTAGATAACATATAAAAAGAGAAATAAATTCGCCAATTTAATCAATCGCTTGCTCGGAACCAGAAACTTTTTATCGTTCTGTGTTTGCTTTCACATTTAGAATTTTCAAAAGGAGAGTCCATGTCCATATCCATGTCCATGTCCATGTCCATGTCCATGTCCATGTCCATGGTTGGTTGGTTTGCATAATGTTTTCATCACATCAATAAATGTGTTAACATTTATATATATCACAGTCTCCCCCGTTAGTATTTGTTGACAAATCGTCACGCAGTTCCCACTTCTCTCGCCTTTTCTCCACCTCACCCCCCATTATTAAATAAATAAATTAGTTAAATTTTTTTTATTTTTTATTTACCAAAAGTAGTTTTTAGATGTCCATGAGTAAACTGTGTATATATATATATATATGCATGTACATATAAAAATATATTAAATACTTCAAATGCAATTTCATCCCTAAGTTCATAAATAGATTTTCAGATTTTGAAAACTCGGCGCACATGCACAAATATAACAATCCGTTTGCAAGGGAATATGATCCTATAAATAAAATATAGTAAATGGAAAACAATTTAAATCTACGAAATGTATTTTGGAAGTTTATTGGTGATGATTTTCCGAAATCGGTTCAATAGAAATATATATATTTATTTATAACCAAATGGAATTCCTGAAAATAATGAATCCTATTAATTTGTGTGATGAGAAGAACCGATTCAATGTAGTTTCAACAAAAATATACGTTTTTTTTAATATTTCTACTCTATTTCCTTTGGAGATTAACAAATGATTAGTGACTTCCAACTCAGTTTTTCATGAGAGGACGAAACACATAGAAGTCGACTGTCATTTCATACGAGAAAAGATCACACAAGGTATAATCTCACCAATGTACACAAGGAGTCAAGACCAACTTGCGGACATACTAACAATATATATATATATATATAATTTGTTTTGAACTCAGAGAATAATTAAAAAAAAAAAAGTTTCGCTCCATTGTAATTGAAGAAAAAGTTATGACTTTTAATTACAGATAAGTAACATAGATAAATAAATAAATAATATATCTAAACCCTAAACCAACCTAGAAACTATAATATACATGCGCATGCATAAGTTTTACTCTTTCGTTAGAAGCCCAGGCCCATTATATTATATTGAGCCTTAGGCCCAATTATGGCTCGAGATACCACAAATGTAATTTATTTATCCAATAGAAGAAGATAAAGCAATAATTTTTATATTATATATTGTACGTGTGGGTCCCATAAATGATCTACGCCTCAGATATCATTGAACACTTGGATCGTCTGTCTCATCCTGAAAGCTTCGTTCTGGATAAGACGATAAGGCCACGTGGCAGAAACCCAGCACCACAACAGTCTCCATACTCCAATTCAAGCAATCCACTCATAGACTCGGTCATACTTCCAATCTCCCCCGCGACAATGGCTTCAGCCACAGCCACTGCCACTCTCCTCACCCCAACTCCTCCGCCGCTCAAATCCTCCGCCGTCTCCATCGCCGCCTCCGCCTTCGACTATGCCTCCGCCACTCCTCGGCGCCAACAACAGTCACTCTCCCCCGCGACAATGGCTTCAGCCACAGCCACTGCCACTCTCCTCACCCCAACTCCTCCGCCGCTCAAATCCTCCGCCGTCTCCATCGCCGCCTCCGCCTTCGACTATGCCTCCGCCACTCCTCGGCGCCAACACCAGTCCCTCCGCCGCCGCCGAGACTTCATATCCCTCTCCCTCACCGCCACCGCGGTGGCGGCGGCGCTTCTATCGCCGGGAAAGGCGATGGCGGCGGACGAGGAGTACGTGAAGGAGACGGAGGAAGTGATAAACAAGGTGAGGACGACGCTGACGATGGACAAGAACGATCCCAACGCCGCGGCGGCGGTGTCGGAGCTCAGAGACGCGTCGAACTCGTGGGTGGCCAAGTACCGGAAAGAGAAGGCTCTTCTGGGAAAAGCGTCGTTTCGGGACATTTACTCGGCCTTGAACGCCGTCTCCGGACATTACATCAGCTTCGGTCCGACGGCTCCGATCCCGTCGAAGAGGAAGGCTCGTATTCTCGAGGAGATGGACACTGCTGAGAAGGCTCTACTGCGAGGGAGATGAACAGTACACCGGCCCAGTTCGTGTTCTTGATTTCTCTTTTTTACTTATTTAATTATGATTTTTTTTATATAAATGGAGTTTAACATGGAAATGAGCTTCTTTTGTTGCCTTTCGTCTACGTGAATGTCTGGATATACATTACGTTACATTCCGAAACATGCGACCTCATCAATGTCGGGAACCGGTTAAATGCCAAGTTCCAAAGATGTGGGAGAAGAGAACTAGTTACAAGATCTACTGGAACAAGAGATTGTAAGCAGGAAGGTCTTGTATCCGATGAATATCATCCAACGAAAGCTCTCTCTCTAGCTGATTCCGCGTGGCCTGCAGCACGTCCTGATCATCAAATTGTGCGACATTTCAACTCGTCAGTCACTCCCGATCGAATCTAACTAACGAAACTCAGAACCGATCAGATCGAAACGAATGAACATACGTTGAATTCCATGTAGGAAGCATGCATGGCAAGCCACTGAGCGTCCATCATGGCGAAAGCTATACAGTATAGTACGTCGAAGGCCTTCTCGTCTTCTGCAACATTCATATCCGACAGGAACTCAAATAAAGCAGAGTTCTCAGACACAAACACACACATGTGTGTATATATATATATGTGTTTATATACACCTTCTAAGAGTTTGAGGAAGTTCATCCCTGGAACACATTTCGGCTTTGCTGCAGAAACAAAAGCGAAAAAACCGTCAGCCTCAATGGATCGATTTCCTCACAGAGTCTTGACACAATCTAATCGTAAAAATATGAAATTGTGTACATACGATCTGCGTGTAAATCTAACATTTGAATCAACATGAAGGATATATTGATTCCGGCAACAGCAAAGGGATACTCCCATTTGGCACGGTCGCCTCTTTGTTTTAGCAATAGCCTTCGGAAAGATACCTTCACGACCATATTCGTGAAATAAGCCTTTACAAGTTCATACATGACACATAAAAGAAGAGCCTTCAAGCGAAAAAATACAAGCTACCGATCTTACAGGGTACGTTCTGGCGAAGAATAGCAAGTTCTCGAGGGAAACAAACCCGCAACCCCTACAAAATACACCGAGTAAATTCACGAAATCGAAAACATTGTATACGATTCAACTCTCTACTGCATTTTCCTATCCATTCTTCTATATAGTTATAAGTTTCAAAACTGGTGTTGGATGAAAGGTTAAGGCTTTGATGAAGTACCTAAAATCTGTAGAAGGATTGGGGCCTTGCCATCCCATGTCTTTCCACTGCTCCGATACCAAACCCGTGAGAGCGACACTCGGAAATGAAATACGCCACAGCGAACGTAACGCTTCCTGCCATTCGTTGATCTTAGAATTTTGAACGTTTTCACGAAAAAAAGAAAAGAGCAAAGAATATGTGTGTATATACATAACATATACGGGGATGGAACGAGGACCAACCTGATGGTCAAGACGCGTCTCGTCAAAGGGAACTAGTATTCGATCTTGCAGTCTTTGAAATCTTTGTTCCTACAAACGTTTCGCCAAACTGAATAGCCGATTTCTATGCAACTTTCTTTCTATATCGAGATTTCTTTTTTGTGTGTGTGTAATACCTGAAGAATAGACAAGGGATAGTCGATGAACCTCTCGTGGCGTCTATTGGAGCGTGTGAACAACCCTCCAATCCATGCTCTTGATCCAACCATAGCTGTAGCTTCATCCGCACCGGTTTCAGACAATGCATCTATATATATATGTCACACTCTATACTGGATATATGAAAAGCATTAATTTGTGCACTCACTAAAACATTTAGCCAACTGGGATATTACATGAGCGGAACTACTCGGCCATTGGAGCTCTTCCTCGCTCTTCTTCCGTCTCCTGTAGGCTCTATCCTGGTCGACCTGCATTCACAGTTCCCAATTCAATCACATATATACACATATGTTGATGACAGAAATCTATGGATTTTGAAGAATGAAGAAGATTAAAATACACGGTGGAGAGAAGAACAAGAAGGAAAGCATTGACGACTGTTCCTGAACCTCATGATCGAGGAGGCCACACATCCAAACAAAAGTACAATAAACTATGATAGATTTATGTTCCAACAGTAACTGTATGCTTGAGTTGATTCTTAAGTAAAGAGACCAATGTTTTCTGATAGATTCAGCATTATCTGTTTTTTTCTGTTCGACTTACGTGAACAACAACATCATGATGATGATGAAACGGGTAAGAAATGATGGCAATGTACTCATGCCCTCGCCAAATTATTCAAAACCCTTCATCATTTCCCTTTCTCTTCGTCAATTCATCGAATGATTGTGGTATGTCGGAAAAACCGACAGCTTTCTTCCTCTAACAGCGCAATCAAAGGGTTTCATCTTGTTCCTTTTTGTGGGTGTAAAGGTTGAAACTTTACACTGTAAGGTCCCGAAAATAACACAATTTTCACAAATACTTGCCACAAAACTCACAATTTTCAAGATGGGCAACAAAAAAAAAGAAAAGGACAAGGCGAATTCAATATCAAGAATCGGCGCAAGAATTGACAATGATGGCTTCATAATGAACTTAAAAACGGTTCCAAATTATCCATAAATGGGTTGCAAAAGCGGGTTCCAAGGGATTGTTCGCATCAAATGATAAAACGTTGTAACGAGAGATTAAATTCAGGTGATTCAGAATGTCACCTGTTAGAACAACGGGAAGAGAGAGAGGATGAAGGGACAGACGGCGGCGGTGGTTCCGATGGCCTAAGAGTGGCGGTGGCGGTAAAAGATGAAGAGGAAGATAGAGAATAGGGAAGAAATGGTGGATTTGAATCATTGGGGATAATGGATTTTTGTTTTTTTTTAAGGGAATATTTGCAAAACGGAAAAAGGCAGAGAGAGAGAGAGGGGTGTAAGTGAAGGCCATTTTGGTTTCCCTTTCTCTGTTCGTTGATAGTTTTCTTTTCTTGCCCCGCTTTCTCCTCTCTTCCACCAATCTCTCACTCTCTGGCAAAAGTGCCTGTTTCCTCCATCGCGAATGCACGTGGTGTTCAGACGCAAACGCCACACGCAGAACGCCAAACGCAGAAGATCTGTGAGACAACAAAAGCTCGAACCCAAACCCGACTCTGAGAGGCCCAAAGCTGAATCCGCAATTTCTGCTCAAACACGAAATCCAAAACTCGACATCTGATTGGTTAAAAGAAACCCAGCATGGCAAACACGTGTCCCCTTACCTTATCTCTCTCTCTCTCTCACCTCCTCTTCTGACAAAACCCCAAAGCTTCGATCTTGAAGAGTTTGTCGAAGATTCAGTTGTTGCATTGCATACAGAAATGGCATCCTACTCTCTCCTCCCATCCACAATTTCAATTTACAAAGAGGTCAGTTCATGTATGATGACAGTTTTTTGAATTTGGAGTTAAGACCCACTGTCTGAATTTTGCAGGGGAAATCGAGTTCTGTTTCTCTGAAGGAGACGAGTCTTATAGGCTATTCAGCTTCGAACCAGATCAGAGCCGACAACTTTTTCTCCCTCGTCCTCCCCAAGGTAACAATGATCTAATCAATTCTCGAACTTTCTATTTTGGAGCACATAATCACCAGTATTGTTGCCGGAACAGAGAAGCCGAATACTGCGGTCTCTGACCACCGTCCGTGCCCAGACGGTCACGGCCACGCCGCCGGCGAACGAGGCATCGCCGGAGCAAAAGAAGACTCTGAGGAAAGGCACAGTGATAGTAACTGGAGCTTCATCTGGGTTAGGTTTGGCAACGGCAAAGGCTTTAGCCGACACAGGGCAATGGCATGTGATCATGGCCTGTCGGAACTTCCTCAAAGCCGAGAAAGCTGCCAAATCGGTGGGGATGGCGAAAGAGGATTACACTGTGATTCATCTGGACCTGGCCTCACTCGAGAGCGTGAGACAGTTCGTCGATAATTTCAAGCGAACGGGCAGACCACTCGACGTTCTCGTCTGCAATGCCGCGATCTACCTCCCGACCGCTAAAGAACCTACTTTTACAGCCGAAGGGTTCGAGCTAAGCGTAGGAACGAACCATCTGGGACACTTTCTTCTTGCCAGATTGTTGCTTGACGGCCTGAAACAATCAGATTATCCGACGAAACGTATGATCATCGTGGGATCCATTACAGGTAGTACCTGACACAGACTTTTCTCGCCGGACCCAACAGCAGAAATCGTGTCTTAACGGTCTGAAAATGCAGGGAACACCAATACATTGGCTGGAAACGTACCGCCAAAGGCTAACCTGGGAGACCTTAGAGGACTGGCCGGAGGGCTGAATGGGATGAGCAGTCCAATGATTGATGGAGGAGAATTCGATGGAGCAAAGGCTTACAAAGACAGCAAAGTCTGCAACATGTTGACGATGCAGGAATTTCACAGGCGATACCACGAGGAGACAGGGGTCACCTTCGCATCACTCTATCCGGGCTGCATTGCCACGACCGGACTGTTCAGAGAACACATCCCTCTGTTCCGCCTTCTCTTCCCGCCTTTCCAGAAGTACATCACCAAAGGCTATGTCTCGGAAGAGGAGGCCGGGAAAAGACTAGCCCAGGTCCCTTTTTTCTTGTCTGAAAACACCCTGAAACAGACTAGTTACAGAGGTTCATCAATCAGTCAGACAAGACACATGTGTGTGTGTGTTTTTGGTGCAGGTGGTAAGTGACCCAAGTCTGTCAAAGTCGGGGGTTTACTGGAGCTGGAACAAGAACTCGTCCTCATTTGAGAATCAACTCTCCAAGGAAGCAAGTGATGCAGAGAAGGCCAAGAAACTGTGGGAGATTAGCGAGAAGCTTGTCGGGTTGGAGTAACAAAACACAACACTCCAGTCCAGTTCATTACAAGACTGATTTTTCTATTAAAAAAAAAAGTTGAACATCTCTTGTAAATGCAGGCTTTTCCTGTTTCTGTCCTTCTTCTGAAATTATACTAGCAGAGTACATAGAACTCTTTTAAGTTACATTTGCTCTCATCACCTCAAATATGCCTGAACTCTTGTCCTGGTCAGGCCATTTTAGTTATCGCTGAAACTGGTACAGAAGATGATCAGCGGTCGGATGAGCGACTGCTTAGCTGACTGTTGATGCAACAAAGCTCCCACAAATCTTGGGTTTGTGATTTAACCATCGCAGCTGACAAGTGACAATCACATTTTGCACAAACTATCAAACATGATATAGTGAGAAATAGAACACAGGCACGCCAATATACAGAAGTTCCTCAACAAACAAATCACTTGTTTCAGTAATCATCTGACCAACGGGTAAGAACTATTATAATCAACAGTTTCAAGCATCAGAAACGCTTTGACAAAGCAAAAGACTAAGGGTGATGAGTTGTGTTCAACAGAAAATGTCTGTTAATGGCAAAGATTCACGACAAAGGAGGCTGCTGAATAAAGCAATGACAGTATATTTCGCAACTCTCATCAAACTAGAAGGTTAGTTCAACACTCAGTACACAGAAATGGCTATAACTGAAATATGAATCGTGCTCACCAGGCAGGACATGAACCGTAAAGATTTGATGGTAACCAGCGTTTCATCACTCGGCAGCATTCTCTTCCCGGCCCAATGCGACCACAACTTTCTTCAAGATGACTTCAACGGTTTGGTGTGCGTTCTCAACAGCTTTCGCTATCGGTTGCCACTTCTCACCGTATTTCGGTTCTGCAACCGCACAATTGGCCAGCACCTCCTTCTGATTCTCATCAGAGCCGTGTTGAAGCTCAAACTTGTAGTACAAAGCCCAGAAATCGCCAACATCAGGGGCAAGTGTCACGGCCCGCTTCAGCCACGACCTGGCTTTGTCCACTTTCATGTCCTGCCAGAAGAGCTTGGCCACAGCTGCAATCACATGAGGGTCATGATCACACTTCTTCATCGCGTCTATGCTCTTCATTTTCCGGCGTGGTCGTGGTGCCATCTCGATGTCAGCTGCCCAGAGAATGCCACTGTTCGGACACTCCTGCAGTGCCTTTGACATCAGATGTTCTGCTTCTTTCTTGTTGCCGTGCCTCAATTCAACTCGAATAGCAGCTAGCCACAGCTCAGCAGTCTGAGGATTCTTCTTCCGGGCCATGGTGAGAGTGGCCCGGGCTTTGTTCAATCCATTCACTTTCTCTTCCAGTTTAGCAAGCGAGAGCCATAGAGGTATGCAGTTTGGACAGCTTTTCAAACCCGATTCATAAGCTTTCTTGGCCTGTTCGAGATGGCCAAGCCGTTCCTCGAGCTGCCCAACCATCAACCACAGCTTAAAGAAAGCTGGGAATCGCTTCAATGCTTCATCAAGCAACCTCCTCTCCTCCTCCACATTGCCCAGCTCCCTCTCAACAATGGCTGACTTCATCCATACCCTCTCCGTCCCTCCTCTTTC